TATATATATATATATATATAAAAGGTGTTCAATAACTTTCACAGATTTTTAAATGTGAATTAAATTCAAGTGTTTAATGATTTTTTTCTTTTTCTTTCAGATTTAGCAACTTAAGTCTTTAGCATTTTCAACCATGGAAAGATTAACAATCAAACAACGTGTTAAAGTTTTAAGTGTGCAATTGGAAAAATTGTTCATAAATTCAAACTGGGCTGGTGGCAGATGTGAAAATGCCATTGTGTGCCAGTTTATGTTGTTCAGTTGAAAACATTGCTGCAGTGCGCAAGAATGTGGGCGAAAATCCAGACACCTCAATTCGTCATTGCACGCAGGAATTGAACCTTTCCACAAAAACGTTTCATTGTTTCCAATTGCACTCTTGGCTGGTTGATTATCTCAACCGAAAAAATCGCGATGTGCACAAAATGCATTTCTGTTTGAACGCCCATTTTCGTAATAGGCTTTGATAACTTTAACACATTGATTGTTAATCTTTCCATGTTTGAAATTGCCAAAGACTTAAGTTGTTAAATCTGAAAAAAAAGAAAAAAAAATCATTAGAAGCTTAAACTTAATCCACATTTAAAATCGATCCAAGTTATTGGAACACCCTTTCTCTCTCTCTCTCTCTCTCTCTCTATATATATATATATATATATATATATATATATATATCCACTATCCTTCTCCTCATCTTTCCTCTATCACTCCTATCTGATCTTGTTCTAAATCTTCTGTAACCCCTTGCATCCTAGTGGCTTCCCACCCTGCTTGGAGTGAAACACTTAAAAAAAAAAAAAAAAAATATATATATATATATATATATATTTAAAAAAATAATTTCTTCCATCCTTAAGTTATAATTAATGTCTATGCATATTTCATAAGGTTTGCTATTTTTCTTCTCCTAGTTTATTGTAGGGTGGACTCCAATTTTGACTTACAATATTTAAGTAAAAAAAATAAACAAAAAACAAAGAATAAACATAAAATTAACTAAAATAAAAAAATCCAACTTTTAGCCTGTAAACACAGGGTAAATTTTCAAAATTTATTTTGCTGTGTTTGTGTGGATGGGGTGCATCCCCACCCACACAAACACGTCTTCAGGGGACACCGGGGAAATGTTGCAATTCCATGCCTAATAAACAAGAAGGGATTCATTTTATTTTTTGTCGGTTATTTGTCACATTTTAAGCTCCTGTATCGGGCTGTTTATTCATATTTTTGTTGCTTTCTCTAAAGGAGCAAAAAAAAAAAAAATGAAATATTACAGATAATACGTTCAACTACTACAATTCATAATACTGATCACAGATTAAATGACATGGTTGCCAGATTGGGCTATAAATAGTAAAATGGACTCCATTCAAAAGCCCACTGCTACTAAATTTTAAATTTTACTACTTGTGACATTTTCAGCTGCATTCTAAAAGCCCACTCTCACTAAATTTTGAATTTGACTATTTGCAACCCACATTATTTTTTGTTTTCTGGCTGTTTTTAAAAAAGCCCAGCATTACTAACTTTGAAATTGATTTTCTTTTTATTAGCTCAAGATGTCAAAAAAAAAAAAAATGGTCTGTTTGTTATACTGCTACAGTATGTACATGACTCCATCTGCCATTATCTATCCTTACAATCGTCAGATCAGAACAAAAAATGGAGTATTGCTGCCATATATCTGGGCTTGAGCTGCCAAGTCCTCACTTTCCAGTCTTGATAGAATTCAAAAGCCTTTATGTGATCTTGTAGATGATGAGTTATTTTAAAAAGTCGACCAAAAAGTCACAAGTATCAAAATTCTAAATTTAGTAACACCGGGCTTTCAAAAAATAGTTGAAAAAGTCGCAAGTAGTAAAATTCAAAATTTATTAGCGCTGTGCTTTCAAAATTAACCCAATCCAATCTAGTAACCTTGATTCTTCAACACAGAACATAGATATTACAGTCCTATTATTAATATGGTTATTATTAAAAGGGTAATTAATTATTATTGTTATAATTATTGGAGAGTAATAATGAAAGTCTTTTGGGGAAAAGAAGGTAATATGCTTATTACCAATTATTGCAAATATTTATACCGTGTTTCTTTTTAAATATTGGTTTCATTAAGAAAGCTTCTTTTTTTTTTTCAGATTTCTTTTCCCCACCTGAAAGTGAAGCCTGGTTTATTCTTGTCATTAATTTTTTTTTTATTATTTAATTTACTGTTAGTGTTTTTTTTTTATTTTTGTCTTTGGTGGTGAAAAAGCCAGTTGTAATGTCCTGGTGGGATCAAGTAGAGTGTGGATGCAAATGAGAATGAGATGGATTCACTGCCCACTCATTTTTTTTTCTTTTTTTAAACTTCCTCCATTGCTAGAGTTTGTGGGTGGGGGGATGAAGCAGCATTTCAATAAATGAATAAAGTGATGGATTCTACGTAACTAATATATATATATATATGTATATATATATATATATTGTTTTCTTTTTAAATCATAGGTATTCATTTTTG